TAATGAAATGGTCTCTACCAGGAGCCTCTAAACCTTTTAGACCATTGATCCCTCACTGACCCCCATACATAAAAAAAACAAAAACAAAAAAACTCAATAATTATTTAATGGTAGAAATTTGTCTTTTTGCTTAATTATTGTTTCTCAATAATATTTAATTTTATTTTTTGTTATTCCTTTTTCAATTTCTCTTCTAGACTTGTTTGTTTGAATACTAATAATGATAAAAGCTTCATAAATATAGGTAATAACAAATACATTAAAAATAGATAAATATACCTTTTTATTGAATTGGTTGACATCATTAATGAAAAATGATGCATTTGATGTACAATAGTAAATTACTGAGTTTTAGTCAAAAGTTACAATTTATTTATCAAACCTCTTTTCACCTACCTGGCAATTACTGACCATCTGGATAGTCCCATCACTTCCCAGAGATTGATATTGAACACTTTGGGAATCCCTGATCTATGCTGTTTTTTGATCATAGTGAATCTACTAATATTCTAAGCAAGGCAGTGTGCAGAGGAACACAGACACTGTCTAGTGCTACATTACAAGTATACAAATTATACGACATTAAATAAATGCATTGTGGCTATAAAATCTAATTTAGGTTCATTAATTTTATGCACAATTTATTATCAATAGTGTCGACATAAATAAAAAAAATAATAAGTATTTTCAGTAGGAAGTTTGGTGGCAATTATCTTCTTTATTTTCAAGACCTAATGAAATGATGTGCAGTTAACCCAGTAATAATTTGAGTCCATCACAAATTACGAAGTATGAGATTTTGTGACAAAATAAGCATAAAGAATTACAAAAGGCTATTGATATAAATAATTGCTATAAGTAGTATTAGTATTAACAAGTTTTTTCCATTTCAGTGAATAGATGTCAAGCACGCAAAAGCATTATTGCCTCCTCTATCTTCTTTCTTTTTTTCTCACTGAAACCAAACAGCATCTCATATGTCTTTTCTGTCTTTCCTCACAATCAAAACGGAAGAGTCCATTATTTATGAGCTATTGGTAGGCTGTAAAATACACGTTAACTAAGAACAAGCAGAATTATTATATGATTGACAGAGACAAACATTGCAAAAGAAAAAAAGCAAACACTAAATGATAAGCATCTATCTCTTTATTTACACAGAATATTTGGTGGAAAGTGAAGCTTCAGGTATAAATATAAAACAACTGAAAAAAAAATAAAAAATAAAAAGGAGCCAGAGAGGCAAACAAAACAGAGCCAGGTGGGAGGAGAGGGGGGTACATTGACAAAACAGTGAAGCAAATGACAATGATGGCAAGCAAAAAAATTTTCCAAAGAAAATTAATTAAAGAAAAATACAAATTTATTTTTTCTTCTTTTAGAAATCATAAAATACATTTTTTTTCTCTAGAAAATTCCAGGACCAAGAATAAAACTTTTAGTGTGACTATATATATATATATATATATATATATATATATATGTGCGCATGTATGCATGCATAAATATTGGTCAATGTAAAGTAATTAATTATATATAAGTATATATATTTTTTCTTTTTACAAATCTAGTATTTAATTACATTGGTCAGTGTACAGTGTAAAGTATATATTATGGTTTGTCATGCTTTTTTTTTTTCCATTATTCTATTTTTTTTTTTTTTCTTTTTTACTGACATTACTTTCTAATACAGGAAAACAAACTTATATTAATGTTTATATGTTGTCTGACTAATTTATTCTGAATCAATTTTTCTTCTAATAATTTAACAAAATACAGACATCTGTAAAGTATACCATCTTCCCCAGAAAGAAAAAAATTTCAAAGTGAAAATATTAATAATATAAATGAATATATAAAAAGATGTATTTAAATAACAGGTCTTTTCCATAATCTGATGACAGAGGTAAATGATGTTCACAATTCAATCTTTATGCTGGACTAAAACAGCATTTTCTTTTCTTTCTTTTCTTTGTAATGACATAGTGTAACCAAAAGAAGTGACTGCACCCAATCCTGTGTTTTTTCTAAACCAAAAACAAACAGGAGCATAGTCCTTCCATCCCAGGACTAAATGTTGCACACATTATTCATATACAAAATCAATGCATTTTGTATGGAGGGATGCATATATGTTCATGGCTGGGATTTTGGGGAGACTTAGTTTTTGTTTGAACAGTGACATTATTGAACACGTTGCAAATTGATAAACATGGCTAGTTATTATTGGAAAACCCAATATTTTCTTAAAAAAATCACTTGTAAATATATACCAAATACAAACCATGTGCAACATATACACATGTACCCACTTTTTGACTGTTATAAAAAAATTATTATTAAAGTTTTAAAATTATGTGAGAAATCATCCTTTGTCCCAGCACCCCAAAATTTCTGGACATGCATGCTTGCTGGCTTGTAACATGGTGTAGTAGAAAAAATAAATTCTAAAAATTAATTTCACCAAACAATTCTTTATTAGGTATATAGAGTGTAGATGTGTGAGAGACATAATTAAGACTTCTTGAAATTGGAAAAAAAAATCAGGAATGTTGGAGGGAATATTAAAATGTACAAAGCAAAACTAATTCTTATACTTTACTAGTACTTACTTAACAACTTTAATTGAGATTACCAACTTTGCAAAGTACAATTATATACATTTTTTGCAAACATATTCACAAAATAAGTAAAATTATTCAAGGAACCAAGGAAAAAAAAAGGTAAACTTAAGTCAGTAATAGAGGAAAAATAAAGTAATACTGACCAAAGAAAAATTAAAAAGAATTTAAAAGGGGCTTTCACAATTTTATTATAAATTTAATGTAAGCATATACAGAACTGAAAGTATATAATAATAGTAAAAGAATTACAAATATTAAGAGAAAAACAAGCAGAAGAAGAATTACTTAGAATAATTGCATCCATTAACTACAGAAAATAAGTTGTACAATGACAACAAAACTTTATCAAACCCTCTAACAAAAAATGAGTAAAACCGTAAAATCAATGTGATGGTCTTTCTTAAATCATGAATTAGAAAAAGCAGATGAAATGTTCATGCATGTATGCAATTGCACCTAACATACCTGTAGTTTGATGAACAAAAAAAAAAAAAAATGAATTCAGTTCTTATTTACCTGTCTATATTCAGCTGTATTTAAAAGCTCTCAAGTTTAATATTTTTCAAGACAGTCTATAGTGCCATTTTTAAAAACCATTTTTTCAGAACTTTAAGTGCATAAATATTGTTCAGTTAACAAAGATCAAAGCAACAATGCAAATATTGCAGTTAAAAAAAAATTTATGAAACTTTAGTGACAGAAAAACGCAGCAGTACAGAGAAAAAAAAAGTTCATTTTCATTTCTGAATAGATATAATTTTATAATGGAAAAAAAATTTTGAATGTTATAAATTATCAAGAATAAAAGAGACTTTTAAATATTAAAGTAATTAAAAAAATTATCTCATTTATAGAATTTCACGAAAGCCAAAAATTAAATAAAAACAAAATAAAATAATCTGTTCAGAAAATTCAAAAAGAAAAAAGAAAAAAATTATTACAGCAAATAGTTTCTAAAATCTCATTGAAAGTATCACAGTCCAAGTACTGCTATTTATGTGTTCCTGAAAGCTAAGAGTAAATGAGCAAGAATGAGATGGAAACTTTAATAATAATAATAATAAACAACTGTTTCAGAAAATGTGTTGCTTTTGTTAATAACCATCTTCTTGCTGGTTTTCCGTTGACAAAATCTTCAGCAAGATATTCATTAATTTAACAGTAAAATACATAACATAACGAGAGAATTAAATGCAAAAAATACTTCTCTCCCATAATTTTAATACAAAAAACGTCAAGGCAGGCTGTCTTGCTATTTACAAACTAAATTGTGATAGTCACTCGGGCTTCTCACACTTACAAGTACACAGAATATATGCTTGCTGTTTTTACAGGAATTACATGTCTATATATATATATATATATATATATATATATATATATATATATATATAAGACACCTTGTAAACTTTTAAGAATACTTCCCACAGACTCATAGCTTCAGCAAAGTGAAGGCTGTTTTTTTTTTTTTTTCCTTTTTTTCATAACAGATTGGAATTTGTCTGGGTATGTATTGATTATGACATTAATAGTGGCTTTATTTAACTTTCAACATTTCAAAATGCAGTAGTAAATATTAAACAACTAAAATGGGAGTGGGGGAGTAATGAGTGAGGATCACCATTAAGTGAATGCAGTGTGCAGAAAGTGATAGCCAAAAATGTTTTAAAAAATCCTGTAATTATCAGAAAGAGAGAATGTGTGTGTGTGTTTGTATGCATATACATATATTATTCAAACTGATGATGATAAAAATATTATTATTATTACAGTTATTATCAAGAGTAAACCAAACCAAGCCAGATATTTGCAAAGACAGCTCAAAAATTAATGCTGAGTGTGTCTGGAGGTGGGAGGGATGATATTTCAAAAAGGAGAGAGAGAGGGGAAGGGAAGGCAATTAAACTACAATCAACCATTCCTTCTCTGACTGCAAACCATTTTTCTTCTTTCTCTGTGGGAAGGTTCAGTCAGAATAAACATGTCAGTGATGTGGAAGACATTGAAGACTATGAAAAAAAAATCCATCCTCCTTATTTCTTTTTGACATGGACATAAAAACTGAAGACATGCACACACAAAACTTGTGGTGACAGTTGTTAAGTCTTAATTCCTTATGCTAATAATAAACTTCCCTTGCTACAAACCAAAATCATATTTTCTTTTAAAGTTTGGCTAATGCTTTATGCAAGGGACAGGACCGAGTTGGAATTTAGGGAGAGAGAGAAAAATAAAACCTATCCCCAGTGGCTGGTTAATCCCCTCTCTCCCAAAAAACTTAATATTGGATCCTACCCACACAACTTCATGAAACTGATATTATCCCTTTTATTTTCCAAAGAACACAATTTAATTTTTCCCCAACCTCTATATATCTCATACAACATGGTTATTGGGTCTTCTTCCATCAGAAACTGGCTCACAAGGTGGTGGTATAACCATTAGAACCTCATCTTCATTATGTTCATTATCACTATCAGGTGGAGAAGCAGCCAAGTTAGGCAACCAAGTGTCAAGGGATTCTTTCTTTCCAGCAGATGTATTTGGCTCCTCAGAGCCAGTAGAGGTTGATGATGCTTCTCCAGGGCCTCTTCTGGCTACTGCAGCAGCCGCAGCCCTTATCACCATTGTTTCATCCACAACAGAGATGCCTCCTACAGCACCCTGCTCAGAGTCAGCAGGACTAGGAGCATTATCTTGGCCAAAACGAATATCGGCCACTTCATTCCTCACAGATTCAGGAAGACCTGTTTAAAAGTGAAGAAAAAAAAACACTGGGTGAAATTCTTATAAAAACAAAATTCTTTAAAGAGAGAAGTTTAAATTCATTTCAAAATACTGAAAGTTCAAACAGCGAATTGAATGTTTCAGATGTATATAGTAGATTCCACTTAAACAGAACATAGATAATTATAAGGACCAATTATGTAAGAACAGAACCAAATGTAGAAAATATTTTTGTTTTTTATCCAAACCAATTTAAAAAGAATAACTAGTTATAAGAACTAATTTGTGGTCAATGTGTTTTGTTTGACTGGAATGTACACATTTATTTATATATATATATATATATATATATATATATATATATATATATATATATAAGCCTCGTGATAAAAAAAAAAAAATTGCTAACAGCCACTTCAGTCTTTCAAGGGAGATAACTTCAATGAACCAAATTTGACTTTTTTTTTTTTTTTTGAAAGATTGCATTGAAATCTTTTTAACAGAAGTGCCTAATAGCCTAGGAGGAAATACTTCAGTTAAACATTTTTATTTTAATATTTTAAATTGAAACAACATAATTAATTTCTTTAAGCCAGTTCATTAAAAAAAAATCTCTGTACAACACTAAATTAACAAGAATGTATAGCAAATTTTATTGATCCAAGAGAAAGCATCATTATTCAAAATTAACATTAAGTAATGAACTGGAATAAATTGTAATAACCTGATTGATCATTATTCTACAAATTATTTGAACTAGTATCTTCATTTTTATTATAACATTTAATATGGTCTTAAACCTTCCTCAGATGAACACTTTATCTGGTAATGCCTAAATCTAACATTTGAAATGCCATACCTTATTTTATTTAGGTTACTTTAATTCATGTCAACATAAGGCTCTTGTACTGATCTTTTTTCTTTTTGAAATTGATGAGAAAAATTGCTTCAAAGTATCTAGGTTACCAAATGTAACATACACTTTAAGAATACCAATGAACACAGTGACTGAAATTTTGTCATTAATCATGAGATTCATAGAATAATAAATTATTTTAAAATTTTAGACATGTCTCTATTTGAGGTCTGTGTACAGAAATCCCATTCTTAAATTAAAAATACTTATTGATAAAATATTAAATGAAAATTTATATTAATAATTTCTTGGGGGAAAAATGAACATAAACAAATTTATATATCTTGCAGTTACTTCTTATATATAAGCAGGCAGGCACTACAAATGGAAAATTGTTTAGAAATTGCATGAACAATTTGATCATTAATCCAAATCATCATTAAATATTATCAACAGAGAATTATTGGTAACTGATTTAATCAAAATTCAAACTGGCCACAAAATAATTTCTTTGGGATTTACTGGGAAGATAAAAATATTTCATTTTAATATAAATTATAATTTTTTTCTTTATCGGCATTATTTGTTAAGATTTTTTGAAAATATTAAATAATTATCACAATCTTTTCCTATTATTTACACAAGCAAAAATGCAATCAATATTTAAATATTCTAATGTAAAAAAAAAAATTATCAAATGACTAAACTTCTTATGTCCAAGTAATTATAATGAAAAGATTCACAACATGAATAAGTAGTAATTAAAATTCTTTTGACATTCATTATATAATATATACACACAAAGACAAAAGTATGTGTGTGTATAAAATTCTAAGATAACTTAGGACTTTTTTTTTTATCAATACTACCTTTCCAGCACTAATTAAAATACAAAATGGAATGGAAGTATGAGTTTCATCATATCTGAATATAAAAGACATATGACAGAAGTTTCATTGCAAGTTACCATTAATACTATCAAAAAGAGTTTAATGATAGCTAGTAACTGCTTCTGAAATGACTATATTTGATGAGATCTAAAACTCCCCTATTTATATTTAATATTACAGTATTATAGAGATAGGTTCAGTACAAGTACTGATAGTCTACGGCAGTGGTTCCCAAATGGTGTGGTGCACCTCACAGGTGCAACAGAAGAGGATAGAAGGTGAGGCAGAATGATTGAAAAACAATCAAGGATTTAGAAACAGTTTTAAAAAATTCATATGCCAAAAATAAATAGGATTTCAAAATTTAAAATATTATTATGGATTACTTGTAACTGTATGCATGAGTCCCAGTATAAATAGTTATAAATAATTATTGACTGATTTTATCACTGTGATATTTTTGCATTATATCAAGTATATAGGAACAAGGGTTCACAAATTGGAGGAGAGAGTTATCAATGATAATGTTCTGACATCGAATTTGTGGTTATCTCCCTTTAACCCTCTCTCTGTTTATTATTTTTAAATGTACTTTTCATCACATAAAATTTGGTGAGACGTGAACAGATTTTCATTATGAAAATGCAACCCAGAGAGAAAAGTTTGGAAACCAACAAACATGCAAGTGATTTTTCTTTTGAGTAAAAAAAAAGAAAAAAAGTAGATAAATACATCAGAACCCCACCTCAATTTTGTTTTATTAATGTCTCTTTATAATTCCCTATTAACAACAAACTTTTCAATGTTTACCTCCAAAAACAAATACAGTCAAAAACTACATAGAGATAGCCCCTTTTATTTTAACAAAATAACATGTTAAGCACTTCAAATAACAAACAAATCAAATCTAATTGCTCTATAATTATTTATAAAATGTTATTGCCTGTTTCCATAAAATTGTGATCATTTATACAACTTCTTGTATATAATCTCAAAATTCATAAAATGAGCCTCCAAGCCCTCCAGAAAATTAACTCCCAAACTATGACTAATAATTAAAAAAAAAAATTCAATAATTATATATACAAGGGGTCTCATTTCAAAATAAACATGGAAACACTGTTTATAGCAGCAATGGATATGACTAACATTCATTTGTTATTTTTATATTTAAAATGAGTCCAAAAGCGGTTAAAATGTTCAAGAAAGAGTGAATTACAGATTTGATAAAAGCTGATAAAACATACATAATTATTTCTTTTTCAACAGCACAATCAAATGATTAGTTTTTTGTGTATTAAAACATTTACTCTTTGTTTTAGAAAGCTTATAACTATGATTGTGATTAACAAATTCTTTTAGAACAAACTTAATCCCATTGTGATACAACTGACATGAAATTGCAATCAACTGCATCAAGCCTGTGATGATAATCCACTCACTGCACTTTAATAATGTAAAATCTTATTTTCACTGTTAATATAAACCAGAGTTCTTATAATCAACTAGCACTGGTACCCAGCATTACACAGGTCAATTTCCTTTCCTTTGTTATTCAGTCATATTTTTGTATAAGAGAGTTACTTATGTTATAAAATAGTGTTATTGAAATTGTTTTAACTGAAGAAGTTTAATAAGTTTAAATATTTTGGTGATACATCTTATATGACAAAGTGGAAAAAATTTTCATGTGACATATTTTGTACTTTAGGACTTCATTGGACTAAGTTTTTTTTTACGTGGATGTGACTACACATGCGCACAAATATGTTTATGTGTGTTTTTTTAGTATAAAATCAAGCCAATTTCATTTAGATTCTTTTTCTTTTTCTTTTCATCACTTTTGTTATTAAATATTCTACATTGTGATAATAGAAGATCTACCAAGAATGGTGAAATGTAAGAATCTGGATGCAAATTTACTGTGGATAATCTTTGGATTAAAGCACTTTCTAAATAGTTTCATCTTAGTGATTTGTTTTCTCTTTTAATTGCAAAAGGACACAATAAATGCAGTAGATGCTCACTGTAATGGGATTAGCCCCATTTTTTATATAAAAATGCTACTCTAATTATAAGACAAAAATATGAGTGTTGTATGAGTGTAAGAAAAGGCAAGTGAAGTTCATAGGGTTATGTAGGGAAGATAATGCTTAACACTAGACTTGAAGAGGTCAAGTTTGGGAAACATCCTGCTGGGTGTCTGTTCCCCAAGGCAGCAGTTCTTGAGAAGAAGCTGTCCAAGTAGAACTTATTCCTTACTAATGGAATCTAAAAGGAATGGGGATAAGTCACACTTGTGTACAGTGGCATGGTGTTGTCAAGGATAGTGGAACTATGAATGTTACTTGTTAGAACACATGACATGGGTATAGTGATAGAACAGCAAGAGGCTTATGATGTTTCATCTGCATGAAATGGGTTATAGGATGGAAAATAATTCATTATCCACAAGTCAGTGTAGATGCTTTTGAACTCTATGATGACAGGCAAGTGAGGACTGTATTGAATTAAAAAGCCAGTCTTCACCCCTCCATTAAACCACCTGGACTAGGTCAAAGAAGAAATCAGTTGTTAAGTCCTGGTCTTCCAGATTTTTGGAGGTGCACTTATAAATTGTTGCATCATCTGCATAGATACTCACTAATGATCAGAGTATGCTCTTAGGCAGATCATTAATATAGAGTAGAAACAGAGTAAGAATGAAGAGAGAAACCTGAGGAATGCTAGCATTGAACTTATGGGCTTCTGATGAATGGCCTTTCACATGACCTTTAGAAAATACCTGTTAGAAATTCCATAGCTAGAGATTTTATGTAACAGCCCCCAGTCTCACACCTTGTCAAAGACCTTTGATATGGTCCTTATGATGAATAAAACATTTAATAAGTGAAAAGGAGGCGTGGGAATGTGATCAAATACTTCGGACAGATATTAACCGACAATCACAAGATTTATCAAACATAAATATTGCATTTACAGGAAATATGAAGTCTGTAAAGGAAAGGGACAGAAAAAAAAGTTTATTTCATAAACAATCTTTTGATTTGTATTATACATCTATAGTAGTCAATTCATTCGGAAAACATGTCAACACTTAAAAGTAGCAATTCAGTTGAAACACGATTTTCAAATAAATTTTTCATGACTGAATTTAAGTATACATACCTGATGATTCGAACCTGCCTCTCCTGGCTGATGATCCATGGTTTTCAGGCTGGCTCCGCCCGAGAAGGGGGGTTCTTTCTGTGGGGGCTGGGGATGCTTCTTCTTCTGAATCAGAATCGCTAGCAGAATCCTGATCACGAGGGATGACTCTTCGCTTGCAAACTGGACACGTACGTTTGTTTTTGGTTAGCCAAGGGTCAATACATTTGCAATGGTAGGCTGCAATGAAAAGGTAGATGAAGTTATCTCCCTTACACTCAAATTTACAACTTAATAGTGAAAATTTCCATGCAAATTGAATGAATCAAGATCTTTTGGAAAAATAAAAACGAAAAAGCAAAGTCAACATGAAATGATATGAAAACTAATAGCATAAAAAAGAGGTACAAATATGAATTAACTGTATATTCATGAGTGGAATAATGTACATGACAAATATAACATTTTTTTTTTTCTATTGTTTTTGTCTAGTTTTTCTATTATTTTTATTTTATTGTTTTGCTTAATTTCCATTAATAATTTTCATACAAAATGATTTACTATATCTTATTCAAAACCGAGTTAATACAAATAACAATAGAAAATGGTTAAGTATTTTACATATAAAAACGGGCCTTCCAAGTTTGATATATTTAAAATAAAAAAAATAATGGAATCATCATAATACAGCACTGATGACTGGTCTGCTTCATACCTGGGAAGGTTGCAAACTTCCCATTCATAGAAATGATCAATGTTTGAAACTAAGTAAAAAATTAATGATTTTCAAGGCAGGTAAGGCCATCATCATTAGAAAGATTGACATGATATGATCTTTCTTGCTCTAACTTCTCCATTTGGCCTTGTACTAGAGGAAATCATGTTCAATAAATCCAGAGTACCACAGAATCATCTGAAATTTTTAAAATTGGAAATCTCCAAAAACAAAGTCTTTTCCATGGAGATTATTTGCACATCAATGTCCATGCTTGGCACCAGATTTTGAACTAATATGACCCACACTTAACTTAATTTTGAGTCAGTTGTGCTTCAGCACTCCTACCAGCTAGATATGCCACTGTTGCTTGTTGATATTTTTATTGTGATTTAGAGTAAAGATAGTAGCCACCATAACAACATTTTACTTAAATTTAGAAACAAAAAGTATACAAGTAATTTTTATGGTCTGTTTTTAATCACTTCACTTACCACTTTATTACAATAAAAATAAAACTGCAATATTTTTTATAGTCTTTATTTATTTTACCTTAGTGTGAGAATTAATTGCAGAAATATTAAGATGTTTAACATATAGTAAATTAGCATAATACTTGGGTTTAGTATTGGCTACTTTTAGGATATATGGTGTATATATACTACCATTTCAAATTCCAAAAGGTGCCAACTCTCAAGTATTTTATATAAGAGATTTATGACTGTATTAATAACAATGGATATTTTACTTTAGCAAAACTTCTAAACAAGAAAAAATATGTAAAATTGCAATTTGATTTTAATGAATCTAAACCTGAATTATTCTTTAGTATAGCAAACTTTTGGTATAAACACAAAAGGCACTGAAAATTAAAATCAAATCCTTTCATCAATTTTAAATCAAATGACTCCAATGTACTTTGTTTCAAAATTCTTAATTCATTTTTTTCAAAATTTACATTCACTTTCCAATACCCAATATTATGAATAAAATTCAGCATCATATATGTAAACTTTCAGATATAACTAGAAATATATCTGTACAATGACAATATGAATAAAGACAAAAGGAAAACTTATTTTATCTCACACATTTCATCCTCAAATGGGTTTTATTAAGGCAAATGATGTGTGTATGTATTTATTATTGTCTGCACAATAAAAACAGGAAAGAAGTCTGCAAAGATCATTTCTAAGATTATGAAAAACAGATTATAGCTGATGTGGCATGAGATCCTGACCCTTTAAGTGTTGCATGAAAATGTTTTAACCATTTTGTTATTTCATTTTATAAACATCTTGATCAGCTTACATGATACATTAAAAAAATTATAGAAATGAAATGGCATCTTTCTTTACTTCCACAAAATTTCTTAGTATAAATCCATTTAAGTCATCAATAAATTTAAAATAATCAAAACATTAGTAGAAGAGAATAAAGTTAACTGAAAAATTAATGCAGATAAAAGATATCTACTACAAATGTATAATACATATAAGTACTGAGGAAGAAGGAAAGGGTAATTTTGTATGTACTGAGCTATACTCCTCCACCCTCAATCCATAATTTGAAATAGGATCTAGTAACTTAAGTTTAAAACTATATTTAGATGTATTTGAAACAGCTAACAAAATGCAAACTGACTAAGACACAGATTTGTAGGCAAAGAGTGCCACTGTGCAGAGGTCAATAGCATATAATCAAAAGTCTTGAATAATGGAAATCAGTCTGCTGGTAACTGTGATCTCTGACAGTGTATAAATACTGCTATATTTGAAAGGTTAGTGAGTCTGAGCTAAGACAGTAACAATCAACAGAAATAAGGTCATAGAAATATCTCTGTATCTGAGCAAGGACATTGTTACAAGGTAATATTGGGTTAACTTTATAAAAAGTACATCTAGTTTGATAAAATGAATAAAAATTCATCCAATTTCCCCATTAACAAATTCCTAAACATTCCAAGATACCAAATTATTACGTGTGAGTAACAAAAAAAACGAGGCTTTAAATTTCTTACATTCTCATCTTTGATAGCTATTTCTCTTTTTCAATAAGTATGTTCTGATTGGCATTAAATATTTTTCACATAAAAAAAACACACACATTGCAAAACAATATGATTTTGGCAACATAAAATACTAAGGGTGGGGAAAAAAACTTTTGCCTTGTATATTTTCAAAACAATTTGAAGCAAGATAAAGCAATCCCAATTTAACATGCCAAAGGACAACAATAAAAGACATCTGGCAGTAAAATGTTCTCTTAAAAATTTATGATGCACCTATATATATAGGTATAGGTGCATATATATATATATATATATATATATATATATATATATATATATATATATATATATATATACACACACAGACACTCACACAGTAGTTTTGACCTGGGTATAGTATGTACATGCTAGCAAGTGGTAGATATTCTGACAAAATTTTCAAAATCTTTAGCCATCTTGTAACATAGTACACTCACACCAGTGTACCATCTACTTTCTGATGTTTGAATGGAGACATATGCATAAGGTTCAATGTGGTGAAAGAATCCAGTGAAAAGCAGATGTTATGATATGGTACAGGTTTTACTCTCATGATCGTCAACATGAACTGTTGGGAATCATTTATTTGTAAAAAGACTACAGGTACGCATGTCTTTAACCAGATTCCCAGTTATGCCAGAACATCATTTTGCACATTTTTACTAGCATTCAGTGATGAGAGCGGATTTTGTCTTTGTGCAAGTGATGGTTGGTTGTGTGTGCAACAAAAACCTGGAGAGTAACACCTTCCAGAGGACATTCACTCAGAACCAAATCCTGCCATGTGTGGGATGCCATAAAATGCCACTCTCATTTGACTTTGGTGTCTATGGATGGAACATTTAATAGTACTATGTTCAACCCATTCTACTGCTATTTCTGCAACAGAAAGACAATGTGCTGTTCTAAGAGGATAACACCCATGCTACTCAACATATTGCAAAGTGACTACTACATAATTGCCAGACTTGTTCTCTATCAAACATGCCAGAAACACAAGGGAACACCACCTGACTCATTCAATCAGTCCACCTACAACTCTTGCCATACTATGTCAAAAGGTATGGAATAATATATCACTGGATGGTATTCATCATGTGTATAATCAGATGCATGCAAGAGTACAGGCCTGTGTATATACCTATATACACTGTATTAATGTGGGGTTTAAGTAATGTAAATAAACCTTTTATTTGGTTAACCCATGTATGTATTGAGCTGTATGTATGACCATTTACTATATTACTTGTACATTTAATCATAAGTAAAGGGAAACACATTAAGAGTTTGACAATTTTAACATTAATTTGGTATAAATACTGGTTTTATGGGGAAGTTTTTAAAAGAAAACATTTTTTTTTACTGCCCACAAGAAAACAAGAGAGTTTTCTTTATTTTTTTTTTCTTTAACTCATTTCCCCTAAAGCAAGGTGAAAAAAGGAAGAAAGGGGTCACTGACATTGAAAGCAAAAAATAGAACAGTATTCAAGCAGACGGAAGATAATGATTGACAATTCATTTAAATTTTTGAAGATTGTAATTGATAGGAAAGCAGGACAAGAATTCCATAAGCAAGTAATGTGGGAGAAGAAACTATTAGTAAATAACTTGTCATTACAACCAGCAATTTCAATAGTGAAATTACAAAACCTTGTCACCAATCTAGCATTATGCTTAAATTTGTGAAGTCAAGGTACCAAAGAGGAAAGCTCATCAGAACAACTACCATGAAAATATTTATAGAAAAAACACAAGGAAGCTATATTACTGAGGCAGGAAAGTGACTGAAGCTGAGATGCCAGGTCAGAACTGATAACATTACTGATTCTTTAGATTTTGTCAAAAATATTTACATATATAGCAGAAGCACAAAACCAGATGTGGTAACAATATTTGATGCACTGACAAATGGTAGACTTATAAAGATGCAAGATAGATTCAGGCTAGAAAAAATTGTCTCGTGCAACACAGTGAACCAACTTTCTTAGTAGCAGGCTTAGCAACTGATTCAATATAATTTTTCCACTTCATGTCAGCAGAAAATATGAGACCAAGAAGGAACAGTGAGTTTCTCTCTTGGAAGTTAGAATCAGCTATATTGATAGAAGATAAAAAATGGTTATTTAAGATGATTATAGAGAGCAATTTCATTTTGGAAATGACCCTGATGGAAACAACAGTTACCAGCTCACCAGTACTAAAGAATCATTTTACTGTCATTAAAATCAGTTGCAACCCAAGTCTTGATCTCTTACCAAATACAGACTGGTACTTCAGTTACTAATACATATGCAGGTACTAGATATATCTCTAATTATGCATTCATGCACATATACATATATGAATATATTATACTAGACTGCCCATAAACTTATTGGGTCCCTTTGAAAAGCTGTTCATGATACAAAATGATGAGGTAAAAATATTATCAATTTTATTATTAATTACACATATTTTAATTTGTATTTGCAATACAAGTTATTGTTGTTACTACTCACATTATACAATATTACTTAGAACAAATGCAATGATAAATTAATAAATGGAAAGGTTTTCAGAATTTGTGAAAAGCTGAAGACCCTGATACAAAAAACAACAGGAAGACAACAAAACTTTCAACATATTAAAATTATTAATATGATATCATTGAAATAAATTTAATAGTTTTAACAATTCATATTTTCTCAATGAAATTCAGCTGGAAATTCAATGATATTTATTAATTTATCAAACAACAGACTTTCAGAACAAACAATAAATTAACAATACCAGAATGATAGGAGGCCTATCATGACAGTAACCTAAGTTCAATCTGAAACATCCCTTTTTTTAGAATAGAATTGCAAACTGATGTAACACTAAAGGCCTTGCCATTCAAGTAATAGTAGCCTCAGGGTGGCAATTTATACCAATTTTAGTATATACCATATTATAATTTTCAAAGGAGAACATCATTAAAAAAAAAAAAAAACCCAAAGCAAACAACAATTGTGTGCTTAGAGAGATTCATATTTATTAAAATAAACTATGGATGCTTCCTTTTTGTGCACTTAGTTTCATTTTTCTAGGTAATTGTTTTCAAGATAATGATTATATTTTTATAATACATACTTGTTTCTCCCTCACATTTATTTCAAAATATGTAATGGCAGCAAACCAGTATGCATCTATTTACCATCAAGTCATGTAAAACAATATTCCAGTCATGCATTTTACAATGACACACCCACTTGCCAAACATTTTAATTATTGTTTTATAAAAAAGTTCTAATGTAGTATAGTGAATTGTATAAATACAGATTGTGTTATATATATTTAAAATTTATTTAATAATATTATTATAATGTATTATACATGTTTATTTTTTCACATACATAATAATTGGAATATAATATGTAAGTGTTTGTTTATATGCATGAATTAATAATATAAGAATGTGTATTGAAAAGAAATCCTGGATTTTCTATTAAGATGTAAAAAACAGCAAAATGGCTCTAGCTCAAGAACACCTTGTATAATTTTAATGGAATTTGGCACTGCATTTGGTAGGGGTTCAAGGTACAATATGCTCCTAAATATTGGTATGTATATTATGTATATTATGCATATTATGTATTGCTTAAACCGTATCTCAAGAACACACATACAAGATTAGAGTTTAAGTACTTTATATATATATATATAAAATGAAGTATAGTTTTAAGGTATGCTATATTTATGGGTTAAAGTGCTCAATATCAGGGACAGAGCATATGTAAATATAAAAGTGGACATTGAAGTCAACACCCAGTTTCATCCTAAACACCATCAGGCCATGACAATTGCATTTAACATTAAACAGACTGTCACCTCTGGGTGTTGACTCCAATGTCCACTTAAAAATGAATGACTACTAACAAATTAATTATAGCTGAGGCAAGAGCCCTGAAGATTGAGCTTACAAAAATGAGGATGATATATTGATATTTAATAAACCTAAATTTTCAATGTAATCAACACACATTAAACTTAATGCCTTGTAAAATCAGCACACAAACCAATGTATTATCACTAAAGTTCTTCATGAGCATATAGTATGTAAATAGTCATGTTACATTTGGTTGCATTTTTAATAGTATTTTCAAATATCATATTTGACAATATGACATCAGAATTTGCTAATACTATACTTGCAGTAGTTAATTTCAAGTCTGAATGTGATGTATACCCTGACATTTTGACAATAAATTACTGAGAACAGGCATGTACATTGATGCATGTCTCAAACAATGCAAAACTTCCTTTTAGTTTTATCCTGTACTTTCATGTACTGGTTTAGTTTGTCAAGGAGATGCAAAACACATTAATTGTGATCAACAAAGAAATACAAATTTTATCTGATGCTAATTCATTTGACACTAATGTGTCCACCTCTTCAAGTCCTCTATCTCATTAACAGATATCCTAACAAAAATGTCTTGTTACTGATATGTCATGATAGCCAAGAGAAGAGAATAAATGACCTTTTAGCCAGCTTACTCTCTTGTAACCAAGCAGTAAAATGTTGTTGCACTCATTTTCAATCTTGACAGAGGACAAAAAGAGAATCAATTCTCTGACAAAAGCTTGGTTTGGTTTAGTTTGTTTTATGGCATATCAACCTCAATGGGTTATTTAATGCTGACAAAATTTTTATTGCTGGTAACATTTTGTTTTGTCAAAAATCCATTTCTGGTAATATTTTTTCCTTCAAAAAAATGTATTGCGGGTAATATTTTTTTCAAAAACGTATACCTGGTCATAGTTTTTTTTTTTTACAAAATCGTATACCTGGTCATAGTTTTTTTTTTTTACAAAAACGTATACCTGGTCATAGTTTTTTTTTTTTTACAAAAACGTATACCTGGTCATAGTTTTTTTTTTTTTTACAAAAACGTATACCTGGTCATAGTTTTTTTTTTTTACAAAAACGTATACCTGGTCATAGTTTTTTTTTTACAAAACGTATACCTGGTCATAGTTTTTTTTTTTTTTACAAAACGTATACCTGGTCATAGCTTTTTTTTTACAAAACGTATACCTGGTCATAGTTTTTTTTTTTTTTTTTTACAAAAAACGTATACCTGGTCATAGTTTTTTTTTTTTTTTACAAAAAACGTATACCTGGTCATAGTTTTTTTTTTTTTACAAAAACGTATAGCTGGTCATAGTTTTTTTTCCTCAAAAATTTATTGCTGGTAATAATTTTTTATGATGAAGGCCAGAAGGCAAAATAGCCAAAATGATGTGATAACAACAACAAAGATGAGGACAATAGTCTGAATATAAATAATGTAAATAATGATAATTCCTCATCTCCAAAATTCAGATAATACATGTGTATTTTAAAAAAATTCAGTTAAGGACAAGCAAAGATATTTTTTTACTTGTATCATTACACAGATATCATAAACGGTGGATTTCTAGTTTGTTCTACATTTTACAATTAGTTTGTCATATTTTTAGAAATGGTACATATTTGAAAACATATCCAGTTAATAAATTAACCTTCACTCCTACAAATTCATAAGGATTAGCTATTATGTTTTTTATGAATCAGGTTAATCAGGATCTTAAATGATAAAATAAATACAAATGAGCTGTGACATAACTGCAAAGACTTGTTTAGACACTGAACAGATTACAGGATTATTCGGCAATACAGGCAAAGTGAGGTAAGATTTAGTTTTACAGAGTAATTTAATTTTAACTAAAATTTAAAAATTGGAGTGGTAATGTGTTTTTCATTGTTTTTTTACATCTTTAATTTCTATTCTTTAAATCATACAAACTTTTACTTTAGTCCCAAAACTTTCATATCATTATGCACTAAAGAAATATTAAATTAGAAAGCTTAGTTTATTTAAATTAGAAACAAAGAACAATTATGTAATAGTGTCCTATATGAAAGAGAATGCTGAACAATTTCCCCACAGTTTAAGAGGAAACTTGAGGCAACAGAAACATAGTTCTACAGAAGGATGCTGAAAATACCATGGACTGAACATGTGAGCAACGAGGAAGTTTTAAGGAAAATAGAAATAAAAAGGAAACATACTTAGAATCAGAAAGAGAGCTGAAATTTCTAGGGCATGTAATGAGGAAAGAAAACTTGGAGAATTTGATATTCACAGGACATATTGCAGGTAAGAGGGACAGAGGAAAGCAGCAAGTAAACAACCTAATGACCTTGTGGAAGTGGATGGCAGAACAGTAAATGGGAGGTATGGTGAAAAAACAAACCTTACTAAGAGTTACAAAGGATAGGAAGTCGTGGAGAGCCATGGTCACAATTGATTCATTTTCTACAGCTTATCAAACTTTTGCAGGTTATTTAGAGCCAGAAAATATTTTTAGACTGTAAAAAATTTTTTTTTAGATAATGATCTAGTGATACCATTCTTACTATTTAACCCATAGCTTGGAGAATAGATGGATTCATAAATTTCCCAAGAGTATTTACATATGTGAACATGACAAAACCAACAGAAATTGGAACTCAGCTCTCTGATTAAAAATTCCAAACCATTATCCATTATACCACCTGCACATCTCAGTACCTAGCATTCATCAGCGGTTACCCATCTAGATACTGACCAGGTTCAACATTACTTCAGTGAGGAACCAGTGTTACAATGTGATGTGGCCATAAGCCTGTTCTTTAATAATAGAGATTCAAAAAATCCAATGACCTTATGTTGGATTTGTCATGAAAGCAACAAATATATCAAATGTAAATACTATGGGCACAAAATAAAAAAGAATAAAATATGTTTTTATCATCCAGTCATGTTATAACAGGATATACAGCATAGTGTAATGGCTTGAAATAAGAAATCAAAGAGCTAAATTCAAATTAGAAGAGGTGGATTCATACCTTTTCCGAGGGTATTTGTGAATAAATGAATATAACAAACCTGACTGGAAATGAAACTCCACACTCTGATTTCCAATTCCAAACCATTATCCAATACACCATTCACACACCCAAGCTCACAGCACCCACTATTCCAAAGTGGTTACCCATCTAGGTACTGACCAGGCTTGATATTGCTTAACTTCAATGATCATAAGAGAACTGGTATTTCAATATGATATTGCCTCAGAATCTGATGGCCAGACAGAGAGTGACATTTTTGTTAGGTCTACTCAGTGAACAATAGAGAGGAAGTTAACAAATAGTTAAGTAAAAACAAATTACTGACAGGAATCCAATCTTTTGACAGATTGAAAACCTTGAAGAAGACGTGACAAGTATAGCTGTCATCAGTAAATGACAGGAGAATATGCATCCTGCATTAAATCATCAATGAAAAGTAACAAAATAAAAATAACAACCAACAAGCAATAAATCATTGTGATATAAAAATGTCCTTGACAATGTCAAACGATACATTTCTTCTTCTCCTTTTACATTTTAAAACAGGACAACAAAAATGAATGAAATGACAAAGAGAATTGATAAGGAAAATTCAGATAGAAAGCAGCAACCTACCAATTTATACTATTATTTTGCCTATATATATATATATATATATATATATATATATATATATATATATATATATATATATATATATATAAAAATAATGCTAGCTATTAATACTAACAAAAATTATATAATTTAACATATCAAATTTAACAGAATTTCCACTAGAATTTTATTAAATTAAATATAATAATGTTCAATATTTAATGAAGGCCAACTCAAAATTATGTAATTTTTCAATCACTTATTGGAACTGTCAAAATTTGAAAGTTTGTGTGTAATAAATGCATTTAGAAAAGATTTTCTGTGATCAATACAATCATTCTTGTCAAGAGACCCTATGACTGACTAAAAAATTATGAAACACAAGAGTTGGCCTTTGATAAGTATGGAATGTTATACCTAATTTAATAATATATATATATGTGTGTGTGTGTGCACGTGACATGCAGGTCTACGAAGAATCAGAGTGCAGTATGTACCCTATCAGTTATACATTCTAACTAAAAAGGCTATCTAATATTAAGGAAGAAAGTGAAAAGCAAGAGAGTCGTAGAAAGAGGAAAAAAAGGCTATGAAAAAGAAAAGTAGGAGAAAATTAAAATATATATGAGGTGATGGGGGGTGCAGATTAAAGACAGATACTACTTGCTAGCTGATATCAAGAAACAGAAGCAAAAGATTGAAAAGGAAGTAGGGATGGAAAGGCTTAGAAATTATAATACATTAAAATTCTTGTGAGAAAGAGAACAAAAGCAAGGAAGAGAGAAGATGCAGTAGAAAACAGTCATGCACTCCTTATTCCTTTGTTGGATAAGTAACTAACCCATTTTTGGATAACATTAAAAAAAAATGTAATGAAACAGATTGGAAGGGGACAGGGATATAATGAGAAGATACAAAATGAGAAAAAGTCAGAGACATGAAATAATGAATAATCTTAGTCATCAACACCAATGGAATTTTCATTGGATCAAGTTCACAAATGATAAATTATATATGAGTTAAATTGAAACATCTATTAAAATTTACCTGAATAAAAACAAAATTGAAATTACATTTTTTCTTGTATTTGCAAAATATCTACAAATATTTTCAGACAATTTTTGCAACCTGAACAGTTTTTGCACAAAGCAATCTGATTATTGTTTTATACAAAAGACTAATTTATTTAAAATGAAAAAATCATTTTTCAAACAATAGCAATTTTGCCAAAAATATTGATGGTATTAAGAAAATATCTTCTGGTAACGTAGGTAATGTATCAGGTCATCCCATAAGTTCTGTCCGAATTTTGAATAAAGAAAACAAATGATCAAATGTTACATTTAATTACAGATTCAATCAACAATGTATTTTCCCTGATTATCTATGACTTCCTTCCATCTATTAACAAGCTTACTAATTCCATTACTGTAAAATTCTTTTGGCTTTGATTTGAAGAACTCACAAATGTTAGTTTTAACCTCTTCCTGTGTTACAAAAGCTGTTTCTTCCAAATGATTCTGTAAGCTACAAAACAAATGGTAGTCTGAAGGAGCAAGATCGGGAGAATAAGGTGGATGAGGAATTTTCTCCCAACCAAGTTCTTTGATCTTTTGTGATGTGATTCTTGCTGTGTGGGGTCGCGCATTGTCCTGATGAAACATCACCTCTTTTCAATTCACTAGAGCAGGTCTTTTTTTCCTCAAAGCTTGGTTCAAACCTTCTAATTGCTGACAGTATATTTGAGCATTAATTGTTGCATTAGGTGGTAAAAATTCAAAACGGATTATTCCTTGGCAATCCCACCAGATTGAAAGAAGAACCTTTTGCCCATGAAGTTCCATTCTCAGCTGTGGCTGGGGTCCTTTCCCTTTACCAAGCCACTGTCTACGATGCTTAACATTTTGATAAAAGATCCATTTTTCATCGTCAGTCACAAGTCTATCCAAAAAAGGTGAAACAAGTTGGCGAGAATGGAGAGGAGAGCAGATGTCAACTCGGGATTTGAGGTTGTTTTCAGACAATTCATGAGGCACCCATTTTCTAAGTTTAGGAACTTTTCCAAGTTGTTGAAGATGATGAACAGTTGTATGGTTTGAAATGAGAACCACTGCCAATTCCTCAACTGATAAAGCAGGATTTTCTTCAAGCACTGCTTCAAGAAGCTTTTCATCAAACTCAACTGGACGTCCGGTTCGATCATCTTCAAGGGTGAAATCTCCACCTCTGAATTTCGCAAACCATCTTCTGCAAGTTCTTTCATTCACACATTCCTCTCCATAAACTGAGTGAATGTTTCTAGCCGCTTCAGCTGCTGAGTTTCCTTTCTTGAACTCATAAAGCATTATGTGCCTCAAATGATTCTTGGGTACTTCCATGTTAATGGGTTTTAATCAAACAAAATTTAATTTTATTGTTTTCTGAAATAAAATTCGATCAGTTTAAATGCATCTAAATATAAAAATAATGTTCAGCTCCATTAGACATTATAAAATACTCTTTAAATTTCGTTCATTTTAACAAAAAGTTAAAATTCGGACAGAACTTATGGGATGACCTGATAGAAATAAGCATAGTATTTACATTAGTCAGACTATTGTCCTCATCTTTGTCGCCATATTTGTCACAACGTTTCGGCCGTTGTACGCTCCGGCCTTCTTCAGGTGGTTGGAATTTTGAACTGAACCCTTTATTTCGATCGCTGGGGTAGACTGTTCTAATTCCACGTGCCATGTTTGATGGATGTCAGTTATCAGTTATCTCCTGCTAATTTTCCCTCTGAAAGTTCTCCACTGCCTTAACCAGAAATTGAACTCACCTTCTTTGGGTCTGTCACTGGATCTAACCAACGCCTTTATCCACTGTGCCATGTGTCCTTGAGGACACATGGCACAGTGGATAAAGTGGATTCCAACCACCTGAAGAAGGCCGGAGCGTACAACGGCCGAAACGTTGTGACAAATATGGCGACAAAGATGAGGACAATAGTCCGACTAATGTAAATACTGTACATAATACCTCATCTCAGAAATATAGACAAACTCAGAACTAAGCATAATGTTTTTTTAGACAAATATTAAAAAAAAAAATCATGTTTTCATAAAATTATGAAACCAAAGTGATATATTCTTGCTTCCATTTTTAAAGTTTCAAAAATTGAGGTTAATTCTGAAAAGAGATTTCATGGTATCAACCAACTTTAATTAAAGATCATCTGGTTTCTCAGTCTTCAATGAGAAAAGATAAACTGATTACTAACAAATTGCTTACTATTTTCTTTAAAGACACAGCTGAAAATGTATCAACTTATTAATTAAAAATTAATTTAGATAAAAAAAAATCTTAATTTTTCAGAATCTAAACTAATATGACTGCATGAATGATTGTTAAAAGCAAAACCTAATATTATTAAAAAAAATTCTTCTAAAAATAAAATAAAAGTAAGATTATTATCAAATCAAGATTCCAGTAAAAAAACTAAAAAAAACAAAAAAACTTTTTCACTCAAAAGATAACAAAAATTAACTTTTCTACATGAATGCCTTCTTTTTGCATCATGATAAATATAATAAACTAATAATGCACACATTATTATATAAACATTAACGATCCCTCCTATTAAGAAGAAAATAAATTATATTTTTAAAAAGATTTAACCAAAACCTTACCATGGGCACATGGTAAAACTCTCAGTTTGTCTCCCTCTTCATATTCATCCAAGCAAATGGCGCATACATCATAGGCTTCACCTGAAAATTTCAAAACAAAATTAACTAAGCAAATGAAAATCAGCCATTCCAGTCTAATTGAAATTTTACTTTCCACCCAATTTAAAGCTATTTATTATGAAGACTAAACTTCCTAGAAAATGATGGTTCCCATAAAAATAAGTTAATGTTTTCTTTTACTTTGCCGGAGTCTAAGAGCATCAATATCATTCAGTAACAATTATATCACATACAAAACTCCAACAGACAGAGGAATCTACAAATACTAACATTCTCATGCTCCATTGTCAGATTATCTAATTCCTCATTATATTTGATAAACCAATAAATAATTATATATATATATATATATATATATATATATATATATATATATATATATATATATATATATATATACACACACACAGGCAAGTAATCCAAGTAGATCCTATTAATATAAAATATTAAAACTGATCCACAAAAGAGAGCTCAATATAATTTTTATTATAAAACATATAAAGTGGTTTTGAAAAGTGGTTTTGCACATAAACTATCTTACTCAAACCTCACAAATAACCATAGTGAAGTTAAGAGTAGTAATCCACACAAAAATAGAAAAAGAAATATTATTTGGTTCAACCCCCACTCCCACCTTGTGTAGATTACCTAGAATTAATATTGGACAAATTTTCCCGAAAGTTATAAACAAACATTTTAAGGATAACAACCCTCTGAGTAAGATAGAAAACCCATTAAAATAAGTTATTCATGTACTTACAACATGTACAGAGTAATTGACTCCCACAAGTATATCCTGCACAAATTCAATGGTGTCAAAAAGAATTCTAATACCCTCCACTTGTAATTGTAGAAATAGCAACCTTTGCCCAGTTGAGGGAAAATATAGAGCATCTAATGTTATTTATCAAGCCACCATTTACCATAAAGAAAATAAATCAAACCACCAAGTTTATATTGGGATTTCTGCAGGGGAATGGAAAAAATGACTTTATAGCCACAGACACTCTTTTTCCAACCTAAGACTAAAACACTAAACTACCCTCTCACAAAAATTTTGGGAATTGAGGAAGAAAGACCTGAACCCTCAAATTGACTGGGAAATTATAGGTTTTGCTCAGACTCCAAATGGCTTTAAGGGTAGATGTAATTTATGTTTGGAGGAAAAAATTAAAATCATTAAATTTAAGAATCAAGATATTCTACTAAACAAAAGGAATGAATTAATATCCAAGTGTCACCATAGGAAAAAATTCCAACTGACATAACATTATTTCAACCCCACATCCCAAGTGTCGCCACAGGAATAAATTTCAACTAACATAGTATCAGCCAAACCTGGTACTCCTCTCTTTCATTTATATTTTTATATGTGAATTTTTTTCTATTTTGACATCTTCTCTATATGTAAAATTTTCTTCTATATTTAATTGTTTTTAGAATACTCAATTGTTTTATATATTGAATTGAATTTTTTACAGAATTTTTAAATAATTAATATAAATATGATATAATTATTAACTTAGTATTTGAAAATTTATTAATATTATATTGATATAATTAGATTGGTTATATTTAAATGAAATTTATATATTAATAATTTACTTAATTTTTTTTACTGTAACTTTTGCTATATAGATAAAGATGTAGTATTGAATGGATTAATATTAACATCTTTTTTTTTAAAAAAAGTATTAATTTTAAATTCTTACTCCCATTCTATAATTTTAAGCTCTTCTCTAAAATGTTTCATAGCCTTTTTTGTTCATTCTTCTTCCTTGCACAGGTGTTGATGGGTTACATTTATATCAGTGTCCATTTTCAACAGTTGCATTTATCTGTAACCCAACTCCACCACAACCACCTTAACCCTCTTTATCTATATAACTCCCTCCTCTATTATAGGCCAATTCTTACTCCCTCTCCTTTTATTCTTTCTTTTTTCCTTCTTTTGACTTTCAAATTTCCTGTGACGAAACAGTTTATTCACTTTAGCAAATGTATTTGCATTGATAAGTCCAGGGAAAAACTACTTTCCCATGGATGAAATGATCATCTGTATGAGGTAATTCATTTGAATCTCATTAATTGTAATTCATACACACACAAATATATATATATATATATATAATAGAGTAGATAAGTTGGTCAATAAAACAAAGTCAAATAACTTGTTACCTGGTTAATATTAATGTTTTTTTGTAGATTTCATCAGTACCCTTTCATTTGACTTTGTTTTTACTGACCAACTTATCTCCTCTACTTTATAAACAATATGAAGCATATGTGGACTCTTTTTTTCTAATTATATATATATATATATAAAAAGATACTCCTTCTACCATCACTTAATAACTTAAGACAGAGTAATATTTTTACTAATATTCTAATCATTACTGAATTTAACACAATTTCTATTAACTATAAAATAATTGAACATTAGTCTGTGAGTGTTTACATAAGCCATTAAATGTCAAATTGATCATTGCTTTGTGTCTTAAAATATCATCTATTTGACATTTAATGGCTTATGTAAACACTCACAGACTAATGTTCAATTATTTTATAGTTAATAGAAATTGTGTTTTGTTTTGTTTTTTTTTTTACAAATGATTGCATAGTGGCTTTGCCAATATTTGAATACAGTAAAAGATTTTTTTTTTATAGTTTCATACCCATAAATACCTTAACCAAAGGAACTTTTTCAGATTACCAATTTGTGATGGGAATAAAATAAAAACTAGTCAACAAGACAAATAATTTATTTAAAAGCAGTTTTCATAGGATATAAATTTATGAAAACATTTAATGAGGCACAGAAAGAAAATACACACTCATATAAGGAATTCATGTAAAGATAGACATAAGAGAAAGAATAAGAACGCTGCCAAGAAAATGATTCCTAATAGAAATAGAACGTTTAAAAGCAACTGATATTCAAGGGAAACAATCCATCACAGCAAAAAGAAAATTTGTGAAAATATATCCCTAAATGTTCATCGATTACTGCACGTAACAATTTATATAAATTGAATTAATATCAATCTTTTGTTACATATGACCCAGAAAATGTTCACACATAGGTGCAAAAAATAAATATACCTCCCCCAATACTAATAGCATTAAGTTGTATGACAGTAAAACTTTGATCACAGAGGAATTATTTTCCTATTTTTAATCTAAATAAAATACTTTATTCAAGGCTGCTTAAATTCAATCTAAAGATTTATTAAAATTCAGTGATTTATTATATTTTTTGTTGATGCAATATTAGAGATCTTGTAAATAACATTAAAATAATAAAACTAGTAAAATAACTTTTTTTTACAAGTAATCTCATCATCAAATAGTATTTGTTTCAAGTTAAAAATAAACAGCTCTTAATTTGCAAAATAGCTGCTTAATTTGCAAAAATTAAAATACTAATGCCCATTATTAAAAGGGTAGAATTTAATCTGTGAACTGATGACAATACAAATCAAAAGGAATTATTCCTTTCTACTGAGACACATTATGATATGCATGATGCAAGAAATCAAGAATAAAATAAATAATAGGATATTAAAACTTACTTTTACTTGCTCAAAATTTGACAAAAAATAAATGCCAAATGGGTAAGCTTAATTTTTGTTATAAACATACTGATCATATCATCAGAAAAAATAAACTTTCAATTGATATTAACAGGTTAATATTTAAATTGAAATTATTAATATTGATAGTAAAAATAATTAGAAGTTCATTGTTTTCTTCAAATAACTGGCTTACCTTTCTTGAATTTTTTAATAGGAATCTTCTTTAAGTGTCGACTTGGCAGTCGAGAGCGATGTCTTCTGGCAATATTTCGACATGATCTGCCCATCTATGTCCAAAGGATAAAACAAAATGTTAAATTTATATTTGAACATAAATTTATCATTTAGGCATAAATTCCAAAAGTTAGCAATATTAAGTGACAAAAACCAAAATTTAAAAAAGAAGCAAAAAAATAAAATTAAAAAAATAAGTACTTTGATAAAAAAAGAAAGAAAAATGTCCAGTAGCAAAATATAAAAATGCTGAATGCAAAAGAAAAATTAACTTACAACAGCTTAGCATCAAATTAAATGCTTAGGTATTGTCTAACAAATGCATTTCTTTTTAGAATTAACTTTTTGAAATTGCATTCTCTTGTTCTCCAAGATTCTTTTGGAAAGCATTAGGCAAATGGAGAAAATTCCATAAGATCTGAAGATTAATAATTTCAAATGAATAGCTTATATATATGGAGGGGTCATATTTTTCAATATTGACATTTATATTTGTAATGAACTTCCAAGATCATTTGTACTTGTAATGTTTATTATTTAGAACAAACAATGCTGTTCTTTTGTTGCTTTTAACTCCAACTCTAAAACAGATTCTACAAATAAACATTGACAAAATCAAAGAGATCAAATATTCATTTTGTGACAAATATGTTTTTAAAAATCACAGAATTGTATCATGAACTTTATTCTTTCTCGCATTGCCACAAGAAAAAATGCAAAATAAAGAGTAAAAACTTATGAACCACACAAATAGAGAGATACATATTCTTTTTTTCAGTGACTATTCTTGTTTAATTAAACTATATGCATATACAGTAATGCTTAGTTACAATAAATAAAAATTACAAGCACCAAACACACAAGTTTGGTTTTGAGACAATGAACACTATCAAAGATTAGTATATTTTATTTACTTCATGTAGGTTTTTTTCTCTTGATAGTTTTTGATTTAGTTGGCTTGTATTTTGTAACCAATGAGTATCAAATTCAATTATAGAAGTCATCAGTGTATCCTATCTCAATGGCAACCTTCTAGTACAGTATAAACACAAATTGATTTTTTCAAGAAATAAAAATGGTAAGCAATAAATTCACTATATATTTAACACATTATACCACTTGGTACTGAGTTATACTGAGATCCAAGTAGTATAATGTTAGTCACTGGACTTATAACATCTATATAACCAGTTATTTTAAATATAATTTCAATTAAAAAATATGGAAGAACTGTAGTTGCGAATATTGAGAATATTTAAATCTCTATAATCTCCATACAGTCAAATAAAACGCATCCATTTCAAATTATATGAATAAAGTAGGAGGCCATAAATATATCTCAACATAATGTAAAATTCTACACTAATTCACTTACATTAAATAAAAATAAGTATAAACTTTTCTTCAAATATTGAGTCCATAATTATGGAATCAATATTTTAATTAAAAAAATAAAATATTAGAAATTCAAGAACTTATCTAATGTGGTCAATTCTTTTAAAATTATTTTGGTACAGATTATACAAGGGTTGGCTGAAAAGTGCATAGGCTGTCTATGAAGTCATGATGCTGGAGCTATGTAATCTTGCATGCACTAATTTCTACCCTTCTTATTAATAACTGCATAGTTTATCTGGAAATAAACAATCTGGAAATAGACTGTTCATTCTGTTGGTCAAAAAAGGTATCAACAGCAGATATGACATCATCACTGTAATACTGATTCCTAGTGAAGTGTTCTTTTTCAAGTTGGAGGAACAGATGATATTTAAATCAAGAGAATAGGAAGGGTGGTCAACCAGTTCAAAGCCACAGTCATGCACAGCAGTCATTGAAATAAAGGACTTCTGTGCTGGAGCATTGTTTTGATGAAACCACTTTCATCAGTTTTCTTGGGTGTTTGGTCTTGATTGCCTTTCGTAACTGCCTCAGAAAGTTGGCATAGTACTCTACATTGATGGTGTGGCCCTTTTGAAGATAGTCAATAAACACAATGCCTTTTGCATCCCCCAAAAAACTGAGGCCATCAGCTTTCCTGCAGATGAAAAGACCTTGGCCTTCTTTGGAGCAAGTGAGGAGGTGTGTTTCTACTGCATAGATTGTCTTTTTGTCTCTGGCTCAAAGTAATGAACCCAACACTCATCTTGGGTTAATAAACATTCAAGGAAACCAGCTGGATTTGCCTCAAACAATGTCATATTTTCCTATGATGTGATCAGCCTGTGCGCTTTCTCACTAAGCAGAAACCTTCATCATGCCAAGTTCATTGTGCAGAATATCATCAACTCTCTCCCAGGATATGATAACAACATTGGCAATTTGACTTATAGTCAATTGCCTGTCATCCATCACCATGTCGTGAACATGATCAATGTTTTCCTCGGTGGTGGCAGTTATAGAATGCCCAGACCGTGGGTCATATTCAAGACTCACCCATCCTCTCCTAAATTCAGTTGCCTACTTTTGCACTGTGGATAAATTTATGGCATCATCTATTGTAACAACTATATCACAGCATGAATACCCCTTTTTCTGCAGGTACTTGATAACACCATAATGCCAAATTTTGTCCATTTTCAAAAGAAGTTGCCACTAGTTACATTTGAAGTTTTCTTTGAACAGTTAGATATCAGTTTACCTGGAAAGAAACAACAAAGTTATTAATAAGAAGAGTTGAAATTAATGCATGCAAGATTTCACAGCTCTAGTGTCACTCCTTCATAGTCAGCCTATGAACTTTTCAGACCACCCTCATAACAATTTTTTAAGTTTTAATAACTTTTGTATTTGTCATTTTTTTATTGTTTTCCAAATGCAAAATGTATAAAAAGGCCCTTCCAATATATTTGTTTGCCAACTTGGAAGCATACCACCATTACTATATATGAGGTGCTAAAAAATTCTAATCTGAATACACTTCCAAAATTAACCAACTACACATTAGATGGTGTTATAAAATCACCTCTTAGCAAAGAATTTTTCAGCAACTCCTCATGGAAATGTATGTGTTAATATTTCAATATAGAACTGAGGTGCCACTATATTCTCATTGAATTTGAGCCTTCATTTTCTCCATAAAATCTCTGAACAGTAATTAGCTTTTAAATGCCAAGTCATGTACATGTCAACACATTCTTGTTTAGCATCCATAGTGAATTTTATATAGAAATGACTTCAAAGCACATCAATTCAACCACAAACATGCTTCAAAGAAACAAGAAAATGACAAGCAAATTACTTGTTTGACATGCAGCAAAAAAGAATAGCTTACATTACACATAAACCTGAAGAGCTTAACCTCTTTCATTAAATTTCAAATGTTATTTATAAGGAAACATCAGTTAAAATTAAAATGACTACTTTAAAATATGCATAATCTTATTTAAAATCTATTTTTTTTAACTTATTTGGTAAATTCTTAGTTTCATAGCAGAGTGATATAGTATATTTAAAAAAAATTAATGTTGATTATATAGCTACTACAAACTGCATTTTTGTTTTCAAGTTCAATGCTGTAAAGAATTAAAAAAAAACTGAGAAGTGATTTAAATACTATACCCTTAAAAAATCTATTTTGATGGTTTGAAGAATTTAAAGTATACAGTATACAGTAATCTAACCAGAAGAATAGGGTGAGTGACTCATGACATTGGTTTCTTTGGATAAATTCTTTTATTTTTTTGTTGCTTTCTTGTTGACATTCCAGCCAAAACTTTTTGAATGTCTAGTACCAAAGAGACCCTTTCCCAGCAGCACCTCCATATTTAAAGGGGCTAATCCCTGATGTTTGAGGTACTTTACAGGAAAGTACAGAAGGAAGTGGATAATGCTTGTCTACTCACACATATGAGTGAAGGTACCTCACTTTAAGCTTGACTTTGTCACTATGTTCATTGGGAGGGGTTAATGAATACTGTTTCAGCTGATATACACTCTGGTTCGCCTTTTGTTCCTTAATAACCACTGCAAATTACAAAAATTGTATAAGACATTGGAAAATGTCTGAAAAAAGAGTGCCTGACAAAATATGATTTTTGGCTGCATTTAAATTCATTAAGATTATGTAGAACTATGCATAATTTCCTCCACTGCAAACAAATCAAAGCTAATGATATTTTGTGGGAAATAATTTTGTTGCATTCTTACATATCACTGAAAAACAGCCCTTTGAAATGTTAAATTCCAACAATGAAGTTGCATTAATTGTTAAAAAAAAATTATTGCTGTACTTCTTTTGATGAAAACTATTATTCAAATTAAGCTATGATAATGATAAACTAGCATTTACAAAATTTTATATATATATAAATATATATATAACAACCATGAAACAAACCAAAAGTAACTGAACTGAAGATAGCAAGGTGCTCAGACAAAATATAGCAGTGTTAGAGTAGTTGGGTTATTTGCCTACCTGACTTACCATCACAAAACAGCCAATCATAAGACATCCACCCATTACTGCCGCAAATGGAAACAGGTAGTTTTTCATATTAAAAGGGAGATGTGGATCCAGTATCACTGTATAACTATTTAAAAGAAACAAGGACATGTTTCATGAAATGATTTCAGTTATTGCACTAAATTTACATAGACTTGAAATGGTTTGTCTTGTCCATTTCTCACTATATCTGGCATTCTAAATGTCAAATCTAAATTGACTACCTGATAAAATTAGACTTGCTTAGAAATAATGCAGCTAAGCAAGTTTTTGACAATATTTAAGTGATTTGCACATCTACATGATTTTCAATAATAAAAATAAACTGTGTTTATTTGTAATGTTTAATCATATTGTTCCTCACAGCTTTCAAAACAAGGATTATGATGTTACTTAAAGAATATTTATCCAATGAACTATATATATATATATATATATATATATATATATATATATATATATATATATACACACACACACACAGTTGTCAGGAAAGTTTAAAAGCTAAATCAAAATTGATAATGTATTTCCAAAACAAATTAATCATGGTTGTCGTTTTTTTCAATAATTTAATGAAGGACCATTGTTTCTTCAAACAGCAAGAGTGGACAAACTTTTTCATGAAAGGTCACATCAGCTTTGTGTAAAGGAGAGAACCTCACAATAACAACAAGTTTCCCAACAAAAATATAAATAACAATCATACCTATATATGTTATTTGTACATTCACTTGCTTATATGACACTTTGTGAACAGACACCACAAATGTATGAGAAATTAATTTAATCTTTTCTACATCTATTAGTATTACTGAGATTTGCACAACTGAGAAAAATCTTTTACAATTATAGAAAATTCTGACTGATATGTTTATACTGAAGCAGAGAAATGACATCATGTTTATCTCCAGTTGGTGTACACACTAGCACCTAGATCCCTACATCAGTTTATACTATGACTGGACATTGACATCAGGACAGTGTGAAATGTAGCAATTCATGTGCCTGTAGTAGTACACTATGCAATATGTCAATTTTGTAGGAAGCAAATTTCCTGAAATCTGAGCTTCTTGATGAAATATATATGGTTTCTATTTTTGTTCTTTTTTTTTCCAGTTTTGAACAGATTACTATTTTATAATGGACATTTAAAAAATAATCTTTGATGTGCTTTTGCAGGCCACATAAAATCATCATGGCCACAGTTCACCCATCTATAGTAAAGAAAATATGAACAGGGGAGATTATTTAAAAAAAAAAAAAAAGATGGAAAAAGTGAAGTTTGCATTGCCATAAGATTAAACATTTGCAATAATAATTTTTAGATTTAAAAAGAAGTGAATGCTGATATTTAACTGAAAGAGGTTATTTCATATTTCAGCATCATTTGTCCCATGATTAGGTGTGGTCATAGTGTTGCTGCACTGACCAATTTCCTCCACATATCTGGGTTGAAAACTGAAGAGGTATACATTCATGTGTAGCATGTCTTGGAGAAGTAGACCTAGAAAAGCCCATTACTCTCCAGGTCAAACTATAGCCGATGTCAACCAACTTGAAGGTTTGACTTGGTCACAGACACACAATTCACTGATTCCATTGGGAGAATACTCTAATCTGGCAACTGACCTCAGGCCAGGAAGCTCACCACCCAGCGATACTATGTCATCACTGCTCTGGCTGCATACATAGCTATGGAGCTCAGTATGCCCCAATGTGCTAGATGGTCATTGATCCTACAAGAAGTTTTCATTTACCTCTAACAGGTTTTGATTTTAATCCTGCTGGGTGTTTATCCATCATCTTCACCAGAAAAGTCTAGTTGGTGAACCAGTTTAATTACTGATGAGCCAACCATATGGCAGGTAGTACTGCACTGAATGGTACCAGTATTATCAAGAAATTTAGTATACATTTTATTTAATACATAAACAGTTTTAAAGAAAAATCAAATGAAATTCTTGTTGTAGTAGGTACTTGTGAATAATTATCCAACCACAAATTAAAGCTATTTGAGGTTAGACAACACAAACCCACTAAGTGAATTAGGTTTCCGTAACTTAGTATAATGCATGAGAAAGTAATTTTTTTTTCAATTTGAAACTTCTTCAACCTTGACATACTAGTTTGAGTATGAAGATAAAAAAAAACGAATATTGTAATTGTTTGACTACTTACTCTCTTCGCTGGCTGTACTGGTAGAAAGATGCAAGCTCATCTCCACTGTGCCAACCAACAAACACAGATGGTATCTTTGCCTTATTCCCCACTAAAAGAAAATTTAAAAATAAAGCTAGAATTAAAAACTATGTCCAATAAATTTACAGTTTGTTTTTTATTTTAATAAATACACATTACTTTAAATTCTTTAAAATTTCATGGCCCAATAATACAAAACAAAAAGAATGCATTTGAATTTGAATATTATATGTATCAGCAGTTTTACACCACAGTCACAAAAAATATCATCAAAGAAACTTTGAAACTGGAAGTTTGATTGGTTTGGTTTGTTTTGTGGCATATCAACCTCAATGGGTTATTTAATGCCAACAAAATTTTTATTGCTGGTAATATTTTTTTTCTTTTTTAAATGTATAGCTGGTAACATGTTTTTTCTTTTTTTTTTTCCAAAAATGTATTGCTGGTAATAATTTTTCTTCAAAAATTTACTGCTGGTAATAATTTTTTTTACAAAGTATCTCGTATTAAAACCTATTTTTACACTTTCATAGTGTTTTGACCCCAGTTTGGGAGTTAAATATTTACCCATAGCTGGGACCCTAAAAGGTGCTACTACCTCGGGTATGGATGGACCTGGGAATACCAGCAATTAAGAGGTGATTCCATACTCCTCAAAACATCCTGATCAGAGGCCTTGCTGTTGGACATAGTTTATCGTCTTACCCAGGATACGGATGTAGTTTATTGTCATACCCAGGACAGTAGAAGTCTGATAGTAATAGATAAACACACACACACAAAAAAAAAAAAAAAATCAATTCATACATTAAAAGCAAAAATCATAGCATAAAAAAAAAAAACAGTTTCAAAGAAAATCTACTGCATAAAATGATAATTAGAAAAAACATAAATATATATATATATATATATATAATATAAAAAAAAAACAACAGATAAATATTGCAAAAGATGATGCATCCTTGATTTAGTATTTATATTCTATGAAAGATGATTTCTTAATAAAAATTATATGGGGACTATTAACTAACCCAAGCTGGACAAAAACCAAATGTTTATAACAACATTCTGTACACTTTCTGGTAAATATTAACAATTTCTTTCATGTTTGAAGTGACTACCTCTTTATAATTGCTGATTTGACAAAGAAAAAAGCCATCTGGTAACAAATGAGATAAAAAAACCCACTAATAACATTGCTTTAATATTAATTAAAAATGTTTTTAAAAAAGCGAATATTTATCATGTCACAATTTGAAAATAAAATATTAGTAATTTAGAAAAATTCATAATAGCAAAAATACCACAAAACAAAGTTAACTTATTTCATTTGCACAATGTTTTCCTTTTATCAAATGTCTATAGATATTTCAAATAAGGTATATTTGTAAGATAAAAACAGGCAAAAACTTTCAAATGTATACTGAGCACATATTATTTAATTATGAATCAGTACTAAAAGTATTATCAACACATTTCAAATCCCTTTAATTACAATTTCAATAATCCTTCAACCTATAAAATGAAACATCCATCTTCAAAGTTATATCTGCCTGCCTCTACCCGCTTTTTCAATTTACTGACAAGGACACAAAACACTTAGTATGGCCTTTCTTCTGTTACACTTGATAACTGATTCCAGTAAACTGGATGACTGGTTTTCATACATCAAATATTGTTTCAATTGTTTTAGCGATTTCTTTCTTTTTTTTTTCTTTTTTTTTTTTTTTTTTTAACCTAAATTTTCTTTTTTATCCAATGAGAGAAGTAAGAGAGTAATGAAATATAATTATTGTCTTAAAATTTGTTTGAATGATGTTTGCACATCCACAACATTTATAGATGTTGAAGTAGCAGGCATGAAGACATACAAGCCAATCATCCTTATTGAATATGTAGGGTTGGACAACTTTCACTATTTTAGTCACACTGTTCAAATCCTATAAAATTGAAAAGATAGGAGTATGTGTTACCGATTACAGTTGAAGTCCAAAAGAATTGAAAACTTTCCAAGTAATCATTAATTTTTTTCCATACTGTCTAGTCATTGATAGACTGAGTTAAGCAACTAAAAATTAAGATGAAAGTAAATACTAGTCAAAATTAACAATTGCTCACAATGCTTCATCTAATAAAAAATACTTCTACTATTAATGCTGCTACTACTATATACTGTCTCACTTCAGAACATAGGTGATCATGGCTCTCCACAACTTTCTGTCTTTCGTAGCTCTTAGTAAGGTTTTTCTTTTTTCTATCTCTCCAAATTGCTGTTCTGCCAACCATTTACAGAACTCATTAGGTATGTTATTCATCCTGTCTCTCTTGCCTTCAATCTGTCCTGTCACTGTCAAATTTTCCAAGTCCTCTTTCCTCATTATGTGTCCTAGAAATTTCAACTGTTTTCCTGATTTTGTCCTTTTTGTTTCCATTATCCCTAAAACTTTCTCATTACTCACATGTTCAGTTCATGGGTTTTTCAGCATCTTTCTGTAGAACCACATCTTCATTTGTGAAGAGATTGTTAAGCATTCACTTCCATATAGGAGAACCAATATTACATAAAAGTTCAATACTCTTTTCTTTGTTTCTAACAAAATTTTCTTGTTCCTTAAGACTTTGCTTAGCTTTTGGATACACCTTCAGTGTAAAAAAAATATAATACTGATAAAGATTGTGAAAATAAATGATGAGTTCTAAGGTTACTTTTGGTTTTCTGTAAGGTTTGAAAGTTCTTGTAGTTTAACAGTTAAAGTAGCTGAGTATACACTAGGCTTTAAGAAAGCAAAAGAGGCAAGTTTGAAAGTCACTAGGATTTTATGCTTTCATTCCAGTTCTACATTATTCATTGCCTAGTAAAAACTGCAATAAAAAGTAATTAAAAATGAAGAAGTAAGTAAATATTAGTCAAAATTAATAACAATGGTTGACAATATGTCATCTAATAAAAAAAAATTATATTGCAATCTTATTGGTAATTGTTTTAAACATGCCTAAATTTTTTTTATAAATTCTAGCAAAGTATCAGAGAAGTAATCAAATTCAGACAAAATTCTATTTCAGTCATCTCATGAGTACAAGTATTTATAACAAAACTGTGAGGCGAAACAATGAAATAAGAGTTTCATCTGTGCTTATCTACATTCAATACTAACATGGTTTCTCGTCTGCATGGTTATATATTTGACTATTTCCCCCCCTAATACAAATTGCCTGAATCATGTGCCTTATAAAATGTTGCTGCTGCTATTATTATAGAGTTCACACATTAAGGTAACAATATCCTGTTATCTTCTCACCAACTATAATACAAAACCAGTTCCTCTAGTTTTCTCTTCCCAGTATTGTCAACCTTCAAATGATTGCTAAGAACATCAACTTCATCATACTGAAGTCACTTGAAATCATTTTTTAACACAGATATAAGCAAGTATTCAATCTCAACCCAGTCTACCTACACCTGATGTGTGTTTGAATATAGCTGTGAATATGTATAGAGGCCTACAAGGCCATGCATTTCCATAAGAGTTTCAGAGCAATACAAGATGATTAACAACTGGGATTTTATCAAATTAATTTTCTTACATCAAACCAATTAAATGGCATTTTCCTTGAAGTTATTTCAATTTTATTTTCTATGTCTGTGTGTGTGTGTGTATATATATATATATATATATATATATATATATATACGCACACACACAGAAAATAAAAATGAAATAACTTCAAGGAAAATGCCATTTTCAACCTGAATACAGTATGTAAATATTAGAGAGTAGTAGATATTCTGATAAAATTTTCAAACTCTTCAGACATCTTGTTATGTAGTAACACTCACACTAGTGCATCATCTGCATCTGAGCTTTAGATGGAAACAGATATTATAAGGTTCAATGTAGTGAAAGAGTCCAGTGCAAAGGCAGGTGTCATGATAAAGGGATGTATGTTTGTTCCTTTTGATCACTTAATAGTGTCTAATTCTGAGTCTTTGAGAGGTTGGATGGTCATTTCAGAGAATTGCTGTGCACTGTGGATGCTTGGACAGTGCTTTGATATTAGAAATAGTAGTCAAATGAACATTCCTACAATCTGATTCCGGATGACCACATAATACAGTCACTAAGATTAATGAATTGTAAAGACAGTAGTTGCAGACCAAACAGCATATACAACATAGATCAGAGTAAGTCTAGACCCAATCTGATAGGAATTATTTACTTGTTATAGGAATATATATCTCTCAACAGACTTCCACATACCATAATACCATCATGCACGTCTCCAGTGGTGTCACAAAAGGATTACACCTGGTAGACCTAATTGTGTTCTGGAGTTCAGTGATACAGCAGATTCTGATTGTCATTTCTGTATATGACAATATTTTTACCCATATACACAGGCTCAACTCATGGCATCAAGGTGTGGGATGATATAAGTTACAATGCTTATTTGCCTTTGAGTTTGTGGAGGAAACATTGAACAATGCCATATCTGTCCAGAACATTTTTCAACCCATTCTGTTACTATTCCTGCAACAAGACAACTATGTGCTGTTCCAGCAGGATAATGCTTACCCATATGATACCCATGCTACTCAACAGTCTCTGCAAGATGTTTGACATAATCACCAAATCTTTCCCCACATGATATGATAGGACATCACCTGACCCATTCAGTTAGGTGACCCTCAATTCTTGCTACATGGTGTTAAGCAATACAAGAAGTATGAAATAATGTAATATTTAATGTTGGTATTAATTGTATGACCTATATGTGAGAGTACAAGACTGCGTTAATACCCAAGGATATAGATGGGAAACAAAATTTGCATTAAACTTTAAGTTAAAAGCTAAACTTTTCCATCAACCACTACACCAAATAATGTAATGTGCAAATGCAGAACAGAGAGTATACTATCAGCTATTAATACGCAACTATTCTTCAGGAATATTGTGGAGAAAAAGTTTCATAGAAGGACAAATGACAAAAAGTGATTTACTTTGAACACAAATTGATTGTAAAAGCAAATCTCTTAAAAACAATCTACAGTGTATCAGAGACATAAACAAT